CTCTCTCTCTCTCTCTCTCTCTGGGATCCCGGCGCATCGGCATCCGAGATGGACTCGGCGGTGATGCCCAGCACCATGTTTCCGTAGCCGAGCCTGAGCGTTCAGGTCTTTTGTTGAGAGCTTAGGTTTTTGGGGTTTGGCTGTAGAGTTTTGGAGTTTAAGAGTGGGGCCAAACTACACCCGTTTGTTTCGGGCTGTGGGCTGTTACATATTCTTAACAGAGGCGTAAAGGCTGGCTAAGCACATGCGAGCAAAGGCCAAACTTGTTTGCAGAAGAGTCTGGGAAGGTCTGGGGTTCAAGGGCGAGGTCCCGAGGACTTTTGCGGCCTCCGGCTTGCATCCACCCCGCCTTGCTCTAGCAGAAACGGAGATGCTCATATCCTTTCGGCCCCTGGCTTGCCCTTGCCGTAGTTTCCGGGCTCCGCCGGGTCCTTCACACAGCTCGCAAGCAACTCACCAAATCTCTGCCTGCTTGCAAGGGCTACTGTAGGCATTCCAAGCTTGAGCTGGCATCCGGGCCTACAGCTACGAGTACCCCTGTATATGAACGTACGTCTGGTTCCCTTCTGCCCGTGCGCTCCACCGGCTCGTTGACCACCCACTCATAGCAGCCGCACCTTGGGCAACTTGGGGCAAGGGTGCCAGCCCAGGGATTTGCGGAAAGCAATTCAAACATCGCATTGTATTTACTGTTTCCCGTGTCAACTATCCGAACCTAGACTGCTCTTGTCCCTGCCCATGCCGAGGCCGCCGCAAGGCAACCCACTGCCTCGGTGCAGTCTGCAACTGATGCCCTGACCTAAAAGCATCCCACACACACACGTCGGAGCAGGCGGAGCAGGCGGAGCTTAAGGCCTGAAGGTTCGGGGCAAGTGTTCCGCGGTTTTCTGAAGCATTTGGACTCCAAACCCTCTTAAACCTCCACCAACGCCTCCCCAGCAGAAGATTTCGGAAAGCCAAGCGGCAACCAGCCCTCAGCGGGCACCTTGGTGATGGCCGCCAAACCTTGGCTTTGCCCCGTGAGTTTTGACTTCGAAGTTGAACTCAAGTGCACCACTATGCACCAGACTAGCGCTGCAGGACAACGGACTACACGATTTTGTGCCTAGCCTCAGTCTTGGGCTTCTGGGTTCAGCTGTCAGCTGGCAAGGATTCCCGAGACCCAAACCCGTAACCCAAAAGTGCAGATCCTGGCTTCGAGTCTTCAACTATCTCTTGATATTCAAGACCCATGTCTGACCTGGGCGATCGCGATAGCACCACTTTCCACCTCGCCCCTGCACCTCCAAATGAAAAACATGGCCTAGATGTCGTCGGGAACAGGTCTCAAAGAAGCTTGTTGTGTACGCTTTGGAAGCACAGCACCTCTATGGATTATCGACTATAGATCTTCTAAACCGGAAGTTCAAGAAGCTTCCGAGAACATTCGAAGCGGCACTCAGACAGCTTCACCTAAGCGCCAGCCGTTTCCTCTTGGTCCCGCACCATTCGGCACGTCGGCAAATTTCAGATTTGCAGAAGGCGCCAGGTAGCCCGGACTTGGACGGGATTATGGTGGCAGCTCACAGGATGTGTCAAGCCTTTTCTTGAGTTTAAACTTGTGTGTCCGTACATAGAAAATACATTCCATTACATGTGTAGTCTAGTTAAGTTGGCAAAATGGATTCATGGATAGTTTGCTGGATTTGCGGACACGATGACATAGAGATGCCTAGATTGCTGATGGATTTTCAAACAATTTACGATTTGCGGCTGGGGAACTCGATTTAGGATGTAGATCTTGTGGGCTACCTTCGCCAGCAGTTTTTTCCGCCAATGCGGATTGTTGGTCAAGCTGTAGGCTTCAGTGTCGCAGGGTGCAGAGATCAGGGTGGTAGGTCTTTTTTGCTGCAGCTCATGGAGCGATGCCTGCTCGGCAAGCGGATGTTCGTCAGACTAAAGATTCGAAGAACTCACGGCCCTCACGCCCGCGGGAGTTCGCAGGTTCTAAACTCTAATTAGCAGCCCCAGATCCACCGGCAATGGCGTTTTTGGGAAACCGATATATCGACCATCTGCCCTCACTGCGCACGTGCGATGTCCGCCGGCTGAGACTGTGAAAACGGGTCCCAGATCCACCGGAACATCACACTCCCCGTACATGTTCAGTCCAAAGCAGAACAGCTCTCCGTCTGCTTTCACTACGCAGGTATGCTGCTCACCTGCTGATACTGCAACCACGGGTCCAAGATCCAATGGTACATCGGATTGCCCTTCCTCGTCGTCTCCGAAGCAGACCAGTTGACCATCTGCCCTCACAGCACAGGTGTGACATTTGCCCGTCGAGACCGTCAACACTGGTCCCAAATCCGCCGGAACGTCGCACTGCCCGTGTCCGTTATCTCCAAAACAAACCAGTTGACCATTTGCTTTAACGGCACAAGTGTGATACCCCCCTGCTGAGACTGTCAAGACTGGTCCCAAATTCGGAGGCACACTGCATTGGCCGTGGCCGTTGGGTCCAAGGCAAACCAGTTGACTATCAGCTCTCACTGCGCAAGTATGGTATCCTCCTGCGGAAACTGCCACAACTGGTCCCAAGTCTGCCGGCACATCACATTCCCCATACCTGTTAGCTCCAAAACACACCAGCTCACCATCTTCTCTCACCGCGCAGGTGTGAGAGTCCCCAGCTGACACGGCCACAACTGGTCCTAGATCCACTGGCACATCACATTCCCCGTACACGTCTATTCCGAAGCACACCAGCTCACCATCTGCCTGGATTGCACAGTTGTGATGGGTGCTGGCGGAGGCTTGAGATCTCCCGTCCATCACCAATAAGGACTGTATGGCATACATGTTCATCTTCATCTGCAGTCGCGCGGTATAGGGAAGGCACCTGACATGGTCAGACCAGGGCAGATCATGATCTGGAAAGTCCAGCAACGGAGGACAACAGCTGGACCGGATCGGCACAAAACAAAGCCACGTCCAAGATGTCCATGCCAGTACAGAAAGTGCCAAGCAAATCACGGAACCTTCAGGAGTCCACCTGCTGGAAGTTCTTACGAATCTGTGCACTTTCATGGCTGCGAAAGCGCTGATTCCGGAACGACCGTTTACAAAATGATACGTCTTGACAATATTCACAGTACACAGCAGGCGGCTCCATAGTTATATGCTGCCACACTATGGAATAGGTTTAGGGTTTAGGGTTTAGCCCCTATAGCAAACTAGACTTCACAGAACTCAGCACGGTAGCAGTTTTGAGCTGGCTCAGGATGCAGTGCGAAAAACGGATCATCTGCAGACCTCCCGCATCCTAGCTGCGGAAAGCAGAGACCCACATCATCACTTCTACGACTCTGGCCTCAGGGGGCCGATGCCCTGAACTTCTGCTTCGGGGCCTCTTTTCGAGGTGAACCATCATAATGCAATACAATGCACCATAACCTAACTGGTAAATTCCACCGTGAGAGCAGGAAGCTAAAGCCCAGATACCAAAGCTCCCATAATCACCCGAAGCCAAAACAAACTCCCACAATTAATATACTGTTGTGATGTATGTTAAAGTTTAAAGGATATTGTGAGATACTCTGAGATACCTGGTCACGAGTCACCAGTTACGAGAGTCCAGGTCCACGGCAACTTGAAGTACTCGGGAACCATGTAGCCAATCGTGGCAAACCTCGGAGTCAAAGGTCTGTTGCGGCAGAAATGGATCCACAAGGCTTCGCGGATCTTTCGTAGATCAGGTTCTTCCTGTAATACTCCATTGTACCGTGTCCTCTCCTTGACCGCTCTACTCTGCTCTACTCGTCGAATCCACCCATTGTGTGCTTATCTTTCCGTCTCTCTTGCTCTCCTTCCTGTTCCCGGCACGGAGAGATCCCCCCCCACCCTCGCGAAAACGGTGCACAATATAATGATCTACAAGCCTAAACTCAACAAAACCCGAAACCTATCGGGCGCCCGGCATGGCCACGCGGCCGTTCTTCAGCTCAGACTGGCCGAGAGGCAAAACTTCAAGCCAGGGAACGGACGGGGAGTGCTGGGATTCTGGCATCCTGCACATCCCTAACTTTCTGCCCCCCCCCCCCCCCCCCCACCTCTCGGCGGCGGCGGAAGGTCTCCACGTCGCCATCCTGCCCGAACAAGCCGGGCATTCAGCTTTCCGAGGGTTCGAGGCCTGCTGTGTGTGTGTGTGCGTCTGTGTGTAAGGTCGGGTCGCTCGGACTTCACGGTTCGAACTCCGGTTGAGTCTGCGCCGCCCTTGCTCACTACTTGTAGGTTTTCCTGATTTTTGGAAGATGCCCATCGCTTACTGTTAAGAATCCGTTTCTCGAGGTTTCTGCTGGTGAAGACTGGTCCGTCAGTTCTAGACTCTGTAACAATGCTAAAGCTCAAAACTTGGAAACCGAAACTAGCTGCCTCTCCAACCACACTGCCCGAGCCCTCTGGGGCTCAGCAAAACGAACGACATTCCACGTGTTCGGCGCACGGTGATCTCAACCTTCCCGGCGACGGCACATGAACGGGATGTAAAGACTACAAAAAGCAACATGAGCCTATTCCGACTCCGGACGAGCAATCCCCCCTTATTTCCATCTAGCTGCTGTGCGTGTTTGTAGAGCAAAGGGACAGAGAGAAGAAGACTGCAAAGGACAAGAGCATCATCAATTGGCTAGGGCTTAGGGCTCATCTTCGGGCTGAACCCTCAGCAACCCCCGGGATGACCACTGCAAGTAGGCGAGTGCGCCCACTCCTTCGACAGGCCCAACGGGTCGAAGTAGCCCAGGGGAGCCTGGTTCTCACGCAATGTAGTTTTGGGCGGAGGACCACTACCGGCTTCCTTCTCAACCCGCTAAACCCGGCGGCGACCTCAACTCGTGTTCCCCCACCCAGCTAGCAAGAGTCTGGGCACAACAATCACGCAAGCAGCCGGAACAGCTCCGAACGAGAAACTGAGTTTTGGGGCATGGGATTTGCTGTTCAAAAAACACATGGCCCACCCCAAACCCATGTAGTGAAGAGCCCTTGCATCCCAAAGGCCCTACGTTTGAAGAACGAACGTCTCCCTTCTCGAGACCCGTCCTGCACCCCCAGCTCGTTCTCGAAGGCCCGAAGAGGGGAATCCTGACAAGTCGAGGGTCATTGCAAGAATACTTCAAATCCCTGTGACATCTGTGACAGAAGGCTCTGAGCTTTAGCTTCTGGATTTTGCTGATGGATTTTGGTGACTTACTCCCGAGCTCACGGGCACATCTTCCAAGTGAGAACTTTGGGAGGAAGTTGTTGGGATCTTGTTAGCCCTGTGCGTCTCTCTGCGGCATGAAGTGAACCCTGCAAGCAGGGGTGGCGGTGCTTCCAACAGGCTTATTGGGGCCTTCTGTGCCACTAGGAAGCCGAAGCAGCATGGAGTCCACTCAGACTTGGACGTGCGGCTTAGGGGTCTTGGGCATCTTCGGACCAAAGCTTCAGTGGAAAGTCCCCGAACAGCAGCCCTTAAGTCTCTTCCCTGGCTGAGGACTGTGCCGTGTAGTTTGCCCAGTCGCCCCAGGCGGAGCCGGTCAAGCCATCCTCTGGCTTCGGATCTTTCGGGCACGGACAGCGACGGTCATTACGATGTCCTCCAGTACAAACACGTGAACAGCTGCTTGAACCTAATGTACTGGGCACTGCGAAGAGAGCTCGGGCCGTTGAAGTGTCTTTTCGGGGTTTCATTCATGTGAATGTTAGGGTTTAGGGTTTAGGGTTTAGGGTCCCGGGACGTGTGGTCATCACTCTAGAAGCTACTGAGGCTTCGAGGCCTTACTGCCTTGGATCTCCGGACAAGGTATACAAGCTTGGAAGCACCAGAAGGCCATGCTTGCATCATGGCCTAAATGGGTCTATGCCTGAGCCCTTGCGTAGGCCTCAGGCGGCGGTTGGATTGAGCGGCTGAGCCAACTTCAACCGAACCAAACACCGAACATCAGATTTTGTGTCAAAGATCCTCGTGAGCTTAACAGGTCGGTCAGCCCCGAACGTTCCCAACGTCCCGGAACTTCTCTCACCCCATGGGTCCTGAAAGAACATACCAATGATCGCCATCATGGCCAGGCCTGGGCAGCCGCAGCTCAGCGAGTTGTGCGAACCACTTGTGGGTCAGAGCTTTACAGCATACTGCGGAGAGCTTTGAAGAGTTCGAATGTCTCCGGATTACTTAGGGGACCTTCCGATATTTGAGGCAGGATCTCTTCATGGTTTCTGAAGCCAGTGCAATGAGTCCGACTGCGTGGGACTCGCGATTTTCGGGACTCTGTCCACAAGAAGCAGACAGCATCTTGATCTTTCGCAACCCCGAAACCCTTAAGCCTCGAAGCCCGAAGCTCGTTCATGAAAACACCTGGGACACCGAAACACGGATGCATCAGAGGCTTCTACGTCGCCCTCCTGGAAGGCCACAGCCTGAGCCTCCCGCGGCCATTTGCGAGCTCAGCGTTGAGCTTCCTGAGCGTCTTTGCACAAGCGTCGCTTTTCTGAAGGCCTGCTTCTGCATTCTGTAGCCCCCCCCAAAATGGCCGCAAGGCTTTTCTTGTGAACTCCACGACTAAGGTACCTTCCGTGGGTCCTTCGTGCTGGAGCAACAAAGAAAGAGGGTCGATGACGAGAACGACCAACCCTGAGTCCATGTAAAAAACCTCGAGGCCTTGGGACTTTCAGTGGTGGACAGAGTTTGGCCTGACGTCACAGCATCACAAACAAGAGCCTAGACTCCCTAGACCTTTTCCATCTGCTGCAGGCCCTTTTGGGCCTTGCCTAAAACATCCTCAGTCCTGGTCGAAGCACGAAGCCCGATCTCAAGATCCTGAACCCTTGACCGCCACATTACACTGAAGTCATGAAAGCATGGGTTTGGGACTTGCTCAGAGCCGTGGTGAAAAGAGAAAGGCTCTGCAGGAGCGTGCCGAACGAACAGCTTCAGCAGTCTTTGTCAGGCGAAGCGCTTCTTCTTGAGCTCCGGATCCTCGATGCTCTTGCCCCCGAGGTAGGTCGGCCTGGGATCGGGCTTAGCTTTGAGCAGCCCGGGAGGGCTGCGAAGCTTGCCCTACATGCCCTACCACTGGAGCCTTGACCAGGTCACACAATGTTGCCAGCCAGTGAGTTTACACGTGTGCAGTCGAAACTGTCTACCTGAAATATCGCCAAAGTTAGCAGCCATGCAGACATGATACTTTTTCCTAACCCGAGCTGACAACACCAGCCGGAGCATTCCGCGCATCGAGCATTTAACATTCCACGGCCGACTGGGCCCTATAAATGCCGGAGGCATCTTGATGAAGTCGGGATGCTCGGCTTCAGGTGCAAAGAACGGTTGCAAGGAAGCAAACAACAGCCCGGATGTCAACACAGGCCTATCGAAGGATGTTCGCTTCAACGGTTGCTTGTCGAATTAAAATCATGCCGGCAGCAGGCTGCACAACCACAGCAGCCTGTATGCCAACCCTCTGGCGCACAGAGCGAGAGCCCAGACAGGGGTCGCTTTGCCCTCATGCAAAGAATCACGGAGACTGTTCGTGATCCTCTTGCTATGCGAAACCATCCCCGCAGTCAGGACTTGACCCTGGTGGTTTCTGCTTCTGCAAAGCACTGTCAACATGGCTGGCACGAGGATGGGTAGCATGGCCATTAGGTCTTGAATTTTGGGGAGTGCAACACTCAAACCTCGATCCTCGAAAATTCAAAGTATGACGGGTTGCTGCAAGTCCAAGATTCCCAACAGCCAGCGCCAGTGACTGTTGACAATTCTTTGCGCAGGAACAACGTGCAACTAGCAGGAGTGCAAGAGAGTGCAAGGTCATGACACTTGACCACACACACGCACACGCACACAAACTTCAGTGCCAGCACCAGGTTGCTGGTGGCTTCTGTGCCGAACAGCTCCTTGCCAAGGTCATGCCAGACCAATTGAGATTCCAGCAGCTCCATACTCAAGTCAATCGGGGTTAAGGTGCCCTGAACTTTAGCCTATACTACAAAATACGAGCAGGTGCTAACACCTCCAAGTGAGTCAAGTGCCCCTTGGAAGCTCACACCAACAAACTGGAACGATAGCCACAAAATTCTTTGCACAAGAGATCCATCCATCGACAAGCGAACACTGCCACATCTACAAAACATAGACATCAGGCTAGAATGGAGACTCCGGCTGCTACGACTGCACTGGTCCTCTCTTATCAGGAAATGCAGTCAAATGTCGGATGCGAACAAATTCTTCCACCCGATGCTTTCGAGACTGGATGCAGGGAGAAATGGAACACTGATCAGGGTCTCGGGGCTTCAGGCATGGAAGGGCGAGCTGCTGCGTCGATGATGTAAAACTTCCCAGGTGCCCACACTTCATCTGTCGGGCAAGCACAGGTGCCACAAATGTGGTGCTGGAAAAGATGCTCTTCAAGGTCGAAGGGCGAAGGCAGGCTGCTAAACAACTGTTCAGCTTCGCACCCCCCTGTCCGATTACGACAGGGAAAGTATCTACTGATCCATACGACAAGGAGAAGTGCTTCCAAATTGCTCTTGTCCCAGCTATCGCCCTTCAACCCAGCCGAGCAAAAAGTCTTCGAGCAGCGCCATCGTCCTCTGAGCCTCTTGGTGGAGCTGACGCTGCTCGCAAGCCCCGATGGCTGACACGAAGGCCGTGGTGTCATCCCCCAGCACCTCCAGTGGGCATGCGGTGTTGTACACGGGTTTCAGTCGGTTTTCTTCCCGGCTTTCTGGACAGGACCCAGCAGGGATCAAGAATGTCCGAGCCGCGTGAATCGGAAACTATCTTGCATTTCTTTGGGTGCATCTTGAACGAACAACGGTGCCTTCATCATGACATCATAATGCTCGAGCGATTGGCTGAGATCTGTCACAGCCCATCGGAAGGATTTGCGACAGACATGCCAAAAGGGCCCCGCCACCACTCTCACAATCGAGAAACCGGACCCATCAGGAATCCTCACTGAAGGCTTCGTAGTGGCATCGCGTTGCGTGCATACTTATATACATACATACATACACAGAGGAAAAAAGAGTGATGCAGTACCATGTGACCCCAAACTGAAGCGGCTCACTAAACTACGTTCGCCCCGACTTCTGCAGCGCATGGTCCTGCAACTCGCGAGTGCACTCAAAGACCCTCGAAAGCTTGCAGAAACCCTGCAACAGAAGTCTCAGGGGCCTCCGCCTCGTCGCGAAGCTCAAGAAGCAGCTCGATGGCGCCTTGCCAGTTCTCACCCCGGGCGCACGCGCCGATGGCCGCGCAGTAGCTGATCAGCGTGGCCTTCGCAATTCCCAACTCGTGGGTTTATATGAGTAAGACTCAGCATGATGGGGGGAACCTGTGTTTGGTTGTGGAAGCTCTCAGGTGGCCTCAAGCCCGCGCTGCCGTAGCTGGGCCAAGAGCTGCAAAGCTTGCTGCCATCGCCGAGCCTTCTCCAGCGCACTGCCTTTGCCGGGGGTGGGCCTCTTTGGGCAGACCTACGAATGCCAGGTAGACAGTACTACAGCTTCGTTGAATTCCAGAAGCCTGCAAGCTGCTTTTTGGCTCGGATGTCTAGGGCCGTCCTCGTAATATCGAAGCCCTGCATCTTGGGATGGTTACGGATGTTGAAACGCAAAGGCTTTTGGTTAGAGGCAAGCATTGTCGGCCCAAGCCATGGAGCAAGGCTTTTCCTATCGATTGTCCGGCAGGACCGATGACTCAAAAGCATGCCAACAGCTCAGCGCTGCAACTCTCTGAGAACTGTGCAAATACGGAGTTCACCGACAAAAGCCCACCTTCTGCGACAGCCTCAATTCCACCTGGCCCCCCCCAAAAATGGTGCCAATCCCAGATGCAAGCCGAATCCCGTCATGAACCTTTGGAAGGGACGTCCGTGCTTGAACCCGATCAGGCCAAAACTTCCTCAGTCTATGACACCGTACATACTGATGTAAAGTGCGTATAGAGGCCCAGTACCTCCCCGAAGCCAAGTGCAGTCCAGATACAAGCAGAGTTATAGGTGATCGCGTTTGCTTGGAGCGTTCCCTCTTCTGCCTGCAACACAGGTCCATCGGGTGCCCACCCAATCATCCGAAAGGCAGTGGTGTCTACGGCTACATGCTGTTGATACTGAGGATGACCGCGATGATGTGAAGATGGTGACACTGGCGGTGCTGAAGCTGATTCTGATGCTGACGCTGACGATGAGGATGACAGGTTTGCGGCTGATTACGGTGGCGATGACCCACACTGAAAAAAAGTTCTGGGGAGCCTGCTTGCATTGAGCGTTGCCGGCGAAACTCCAATGTTTGAAACCAAAAACAAAGTACTTAGCAAGACTGTCCAGCCGTTTTCATTCCATCCTCGCCTCTTGGAGTTCGACAATCCGTCCACTCCGCCCCTTTCCGACTAGGAGTGTGGTGCACCTGTGCCACCTGACGCCCTCTGGACCGGAATCCGCCGCAAAGCTACGCGTGGCTTTGGAATGCCTCCCGGAGAAGCTGTAGGGCGCCCTGCCAATGTGAGCCCTTTTCACAAGCACTGACAGCTGCGTTGCGGGCGACGATTGTCCTTGGGAAAGCAGCAGCAAGTCTTTTGTTTGGGCTTGCGCCGCTGACACAAAACTCGCGGTGTGAACAACGTTCCTCCAAGGTCCAAGCTGCGCCTGCATCTCGCTTTGGCACTCTGCAAAAAGGGCCACCGCACGCTGCCAGCGCCTGCAAGGTTGAAGGTTTCGGGCTCGGCTTCGGAAGATCGGAAAAACTGCACATTGCAACTTCGAAGAACCACACGAAGGCCCGGCATCTCGTAAACTTTGGAGGTTCGGTAGCCTTCAAAACCGTGTTGGGTGCTGCGTTTGGGTTCGGGTGCTCGCAATGAATTCGGGAATCTTGTTCTTTTTCAGCTGTCCCTCGCCCGTAAGTCGCGGACACCCAGCACATCCCATTCTCTTGGTTACCGACCCGAAACTGTCGCCAAGGCAATCTTGAATGGGCCTGTTAAAGTGAACAACCTTCGGTCTTGAGATGTGGGCTCAAACATTTCAGGTTAAGGCTGTAGGGAATTCGAAAAACCCTAAAACAATCGCAAAAAACACATTTTTGAGCCTGCTTGTCTCACAGGCGGTGATAGCCGCTCCGTAAGAGATCGCCGTCCGTTCCAAGCCGCACCTGCTTGCAGGGCATTCGGAAAGAATGAAAACGAGCACCCTAACGTGATGCCATGACGGCAGGGATACTAGAGAGCATGACAACGAAATAACAATGAAACAAAAGCCTTGGTACTCACAACCGTGCTGACAATGAAGGTGTTTGTGGCAAGAAAACCATTCACAAAATATGAAGGTGATGGAGATGAGGAGGATGAGAGACCAAGACAGCCGTGGTGATTGTGTATGCATACATATGTTTATATATATATATATATATATTTATTTATTTATTTATTTGTTTATTTATTTATAAATATATATATATATATATATATAATATATATATATATATACGATGTACCTATTTACCTCTTCGAATAATCCATGAGTCACTGAATTGGATGCTTAATGAATCCCTTCCCCGGATTACTAAACCTCACCCCGATATTGAGTATTGTTTTCGGGAAGCATTTGGCTCGGAATGGGCCGGAAAAGGTACGAAAACGGGCCAAGACTACATTAGAATTAAGCGCTAGTAGGAAGAGACGAGGGATCGCTCAACGGTGGAGATATCGAAGCTCTCTCCGTGTCTCTCTCTCGCAGAGTTTAGATATCGAAGCTCTCTCCGTGTCTCTCTCTCGCAGGGTTTATGCTTAGGGACTATCTCAGCATCCGAAACATTACGATTGCAAGAGCGAATGTGTACTAGAACGCATGAGTTGAAATGACTGCAAGAACTGCAGCCAGCAGAGGCCGAAGGAACGTAGGACTGCCAGCACTGCGCGGGAATTGCAGGCTGCAACAACCACAGGAACGGAGGACTGCAGGGTCTGCAATCTGCCAAAGGAAGGGTTTTGAATAAAACACTGAGGAAGAAGAAGACTCATAGCCAAAGTCCTAATAATACTAAACTAAACATTGTTCACACTATATATGGCATTGCGGGGGATTATATAATGGTTGAAGTGATTAGTAAACTAATTCGCAAAAAAAGATCGCGGCCAGCGTCCTCATCACCACCGCCACCACCACCACCACCGCCAAGAATGACATCACCCTGATAAGCCATCGGCGCCAACGTCATCATCATCACCATCATCATCATCATGATCAAGATCAAACATGAATGTCAGCAACATCACATTGACAGGCGCAAGACAGCCTTTCCTTGCGAGAGACTGCCCGAGCCTGGAGAGCCTCCGAAGCAGCTCCAGAGCTCGCTCCCATTGCCTTGGTCTCGCGAGCGAACTGCGGATTCGTTGTTGCGGTAGTAGCCGTAGCAGTACTACCCGTTTCTTACAGTGCTGTATCTTCTCCTTGTTGACATGTTGGAAAGCGCGTGGGTTTTTGCTTATGTCTTGCTATGTTTGAAACATTGCTCTTCATGCTTGCAGCCAAAATGCTGGAATTTACAGAGCTCGTGTTTGAGATTTTTGGGTTGTTAGCTGTTTTTTGCGGTCTGGGTTTTCGTACCCAACAACTAGCGGTCAGAACGAAGTTTGTTTGCCTGATTTTGGTGGTCTTGATGTACGAATAATCAGACATCAGAATGCAACGATGTTCTTCGTGTCCGGTCCAACGGAAAGCGTTTCAGAATAACTGTAGCAGTAGCGGTAGCAGTAGCGGTAGCAGTAGCAGTAGGAGTAG